CCTAAGTCATCTTGCCCCTTCTGCTCCAACACACTATCCGTGGACCACATCTTACGCACCTGTCCAGCTTTAGAAAGTATTTCTGCTCAATATCAAACACTGTTAAAAACACCATCTTTTGAAAATATTACATGTATTTATAATTTTCTAGTGGAATGTAACATACATAATATGATATAATATAGATTTGTTATAATATCGGAGTCGATGGCCAAAGCTGCTCGCACTCCTCCTTATCATTAGGTTTAATAGCCTGTATATTTTCCTAATAAATGTAATAATAATAAAAAATATGAATCTCTTAGAATTTTCTTTTCTGATAGGAATTGCGACCTGCATCCTGCCCGCCGTCCGAAAAATGCACATGCGAGATGCATCGGGCAATTGCTTCCCAAAGGCACAATATCAAAGATTTCGTATTCAAAAAATTTGTGAAAGATGTTCAAATATATAACTATAATGCCTAGAAATTTCACTTGAATCAATTATTTCTTTCCCTTCAAAAAAATCTTCAAAAAATCGTTTTTTTGAAGCCTCTAAAGCAGACTCCCCCCCTCAACATTGTTCGTCCGCGATCTGTTCGGCGACAAGAGAAAAAGGAGATTTTGTACGCACTCAACACCATACACGACACACATGTGCGCACACCGATCGTAAAAATCAAACATTTTCGCGAACATGGATCGGTACGCGCACAAGCCCATACCCGAGTAAACCGCATGCGCACACATACCGATCGAACGCACTATGGGTATGTATGGGCACTTTTGCTAAGAAATACCCGTCTTGCAGAATCCATTCATGCAAAGCAATGATCGAAAATGATATCGATATATCAAATTTACCGCCGCATATTGTGACGAACACGGATACGAGAACAAAATAGTCAGCGAAATTCATATTAGCCAGAACGTTCGAGTGGTGAAGTTTTGTTAACGATAAAATAAATAAGAGCTGTCGGATTGTGTAGCAGATACAGTTCTAGTGTGCTGGAAAATACAATTTAAGTACAGTCGTAGCCACTCAAAGCTTACCACTATACTTTCTATATTTCTTTATGTCGTTTTGGTTCGTTCGGGACTTTCTTCAATTTAGTTTTTCGTTAAGTTAAAACTAAATTATATTATTTGATTATAATTATAGTTTTTAATTTATTATGTCAATATATGGCCGATTTATTGTTTTAAAGTAATTCCGCGACTAAACTTCGTATTTCAATTAAAAAAATAAAGTAAAGCATTCATTTCAATTGTAGTGTTAATGACATTAAATTGTTGAAAATTAAAAAATATAATGTTGTTAAATTTCAACCTCACTTTGTAAAGCTCACTAGCTTTCAAATGATTTTGTCTAAAGCTGAATGTGTTTTGTTTTTAATTTTTAATAGTTTTGATAAATAAAATGTCATTAGTTTATCTAAACCTAATCATTGGAGGATTAAGCCATGTCTAATGGTTTACGCAAGTGAATAAAGTTTTTTTAATTCTATTCACTTGAGAGTAGCCAGCAATTATCCCTTTAAATATGCCTCAAACATCACACGACTTCCTGTCTAAGACCAAGTATCTTCTGGGTAGTCAAAAAGAATCCATTTGAAGGAAAATCATCTCTGTAAATTGTGCGATGAGTTTAGGACCCACCACGTAAAAACACACCCTCAATGAAAAGGATACAATAGCCCCGGATGAGAGACCCTCCTTTTGATGGCGACCACTGCAAACGTATTAAGGATTGTGATTGGTATGCACATAGAATGTCTGGTCCCTTATATGGAAAAGTTCGTTACTCGTAAAAGTAAAGTCCGCATGAAAGCAAAGCTCTTCGCTGATTCGCACCCGTGTCCGACGGAAAGGAAGGACAATGTGACCAAAGACTTTAACGAAACGGTCGGTAAATTCTGCCTCCATGGTCCTTTTGACAGCGCAAAAAGGAACTGCCCTTCTTTTGTCTTAATTTGGTATCACTACTATAGTAATATTGCTGCTTAAACTGACGTTGAGCAATACCGAAAGATGCCGGGCAGGCTTCCGCTTTAACAGTTAAAGCAGTTAACTTTATAGTGAACACCGTTTTTGTGAAGTACAACTGGTGAAGGTTATGCAAAGATGAAGATTGAAAGTACTCAAAACTATTTGACTTCTTTAGAAGGGCTTCAATTCGATATTAAAATTTTTAGCTTTATATTCAATATATCCTATTTAATAGTATTTGTTATTGATAATTACCGTGCGATTATGTACTCTGATACAGTCACAAGTCTACAAATTTGAGATTTTAAGTTAGAGACAATTTTTGAGAATTGGGACAATTTTGCTATTATGTAAGTGACAGTCACGAACTCTATTACATTTCATTATTCAGAGATGTTTTTACACTTGAATGAAAATAAATATGTCGATAACAAATATTAAATATTCTGTAACATAGTCAAAAAATATACTTATGAATAAAAATACAAATATATGTTGACTTCGTTTCATAATATTTACGAAATTTATGCAAAATTTATAAATTTTTAACCTTTTCGTGTCTGAGTTGCTTACAAATTATATAAAACGACAACCGATTAATATCTATGATGATCTCCATTCAGTATATTCAAAATGACAGACAAGAATTATTTTTAGTTTTGTGACCTACTAACTATCAGGTCTCATATTTGAGGAAATATTTTGAGACTAACGCTAGAGACTGTTTTGTGAATAGTAATTAGTCACAAATTCAGACTTTGCCTCAAAATGTCTCAAATAGAGACTGGAGACTGGTTACATAATTCCGCTATTAATTTTCAATTAAATAAATTAATATATTTTAATTTATCAAATTATTTCTCTTAAAATATATATAATATTTTCAAGAACTCTAAAAAAAAATCAAGATTTGCTAACAAAATATTTATATAGTTTAGGCATTTATACGTTAAATCATAAATATATTAAATATATTTTACTCAAATGGCATAAAATTTGATCTGCACTGGCAAAAAAAACGTTTTGTAGTTGTCTTTATTATCGCCTTCAAAAGACATAGGCTTCTTTTGAGCCAAAGCAAGTATCCCAACGATTATTCCATTTTACATACACTAAACTTATAAAACTTGGCTGGGATGCCTTCAGTATCTTCAGCGGATCATTTTTAATTATTTAATGACGCGTTCCTCGAGCGGATTTTTCGAAAGTCAGATCATGGTGAAGCACATCACTGTTATTAAAGAAAACGATGAGTATACCGTCGATTTTAACCGACTTTGACATAGTTGTTTCGCCTTCAGTTTCGACGTCATATTCAAAAACTTAAGTAGGTCTCGTCCCCAGTAATTATGCGTTTTATTAATATAGCGTTCTCGGCTACTTTGTCAAGCATCTCTTTCGCGACCTCTTACTACGTCGTTTTTTGTAAAAGGTTCATGTCTTTTAATACGAGTTCACCATTAACGCGCTTCTTACCCAAAATATTTTGTTAATATTTAGGGACAATCCATAAAAGATGATCCTCTCCTATCTCTCAGATGTCAACAGGATGATTTTCAAGCACTGTTTCTTAAACTTTTTCGATGTTATCGTTTTTAGCAAACACTTGTGTTCGTGATAAGGCAGACTCCCTAAAACACTTCCGTAATCTTCATTGCAAACATACAATTTCAAATTCGTTTTTAAATTTTTTCCCAAAGTAAAATTTTGCTAAACAAAATATCGAAATGATTGTACCAATTTCGGAAAAAATATATCGCTTCGAGTTGCGCGCGCAGTTTAATGCATGTGTCATGTTATTTCCAATACCAATAAAATAATAAAATACCAATCGAAGGGATAATAATTATTTATTTTATTTCTTCCGGTTTGAGTGCTATGAAATTTACATCGCGACATCGTACAGATTTCATGATATTATTCCAAATCAGATTGGTTCGATACACCCAAATAAAATGTATCCAATACTTAGAGGATAAGATGATTAGAAGTTTGAAAATATAATATTATTATTAGTTTCCTGAAGCAAATATGGATGGATTAAGAAATGGAAATCGCGATCTCATTAAAATTGCTTTCTCGTTACAGTTTTTTTCCAAGTCGTCTTTGATTTACAAAATCAGAAAAAATAATGCTATTAATGTTTTTCACCTACCTTCCCTTGCTTGTGTATCATTAACCTGCGAACTTATTATTTTGTATTAAATTTTAATATCCATACAATACTGCTTGTTTCGACTTTTAGGAAAATACATACTTAGACGTTCATAACGTACATAGTCCTTATCAAAAACGTCTGCTAAAGCATTTCCGAAGTCTGTACATATTTCTCTTTTATTTTGTTAAAGTTTTCACATTTTTAATTACTCTCACATTAATCATGGTCGAGTTTTTAAAATTTACTACGCTCCACGAAGAGTACATCTTGGGAAATCACGTTTGTTTACTTCTACTCGTAAGTAATTTTAAGGAGGCACGTAGTATTGTTAGTGATGCTTGGAAGCAGACTAAAAGCGAGAAAATTACTCTTGTCTATTTATATACAACTTACGTGGCACTTYGCATTGTTGTGAATATAAAGAAGAGAAGCACAGCACAAATATTCGTATGTACATACTTAGCTATATACATATGTATGTATATACATATAAGCGCTCGTTCTGATAATGATGAGCGCGGAAAAATTGCTGTACAAAGTATAGATATGTATATATGTAGGTATGTACAATTCAATTCCTTTTTAGTCATCATCATGCTGGTCGCCATTCATCCTGACTACTGAGTTTCTATGGCAAGTTCGGCACCATGGCCTGGCAGCCATGATTTTTTATATATAGTACGACGCCAGGCTGCCTCGTTGTCGCGTTGTTAGTAGCGTTAGAGTGATTTTAATACGTAAACAAAAATTTGGTTTATTTTGTCAAACGAGTGTAACAGTAACCATAATGTTCTTGAATAATTAAATATAAATATGTATATATGTACATAAAAACATGAAATTATTTATATTTTTTCAATTTGTAACATTCTTGAAAACTTCTTATTTTCTTATGCAATTCTATCCACATCAGCAAAAGTGCTGTCAATAAATTAATTAAATATTGCCAATTTTTTGAAAGCGAGTAGGGAAAAATGATCAATTTTAATATATGTATGTATGTATGTATGTACATACGTATAGGAGGTGTGTTCAAAAAGTATCGCGAATTTTGTGTTTTTTCAAAAATTATTTATTTATTCATGAATATCTATTTTGTCCCCTTCAAAGTAATCTCCATTATACACTTGTGCCAACGGTTTTTCCAATCTTCGAAGCACTTCAAAAAATCATTTTTTTTTTTATCTTCTTCAGCTCCTTCTTCAATGCCGTCTTTATCTCGTCAAGAGAAGCGTAACGTTGTCCTTTCATGGGCCTCTTCAGTTTAGGGAACAAGAAAAAGTCACAGGGGGCCAGATCTGGGGAATACGGTGGCTGCGGCATCATTAGTGTGTTGTTTTTAGCCAAAAAGTCGCGCACAAGCAAC